ACTAAGCTTGCCGGTATTATTATTACTGCTATTATCGTTATTATTACTATAACAATTATTACTATCATTTACTATAGTTATTATAATATCTCGCCTTTAATGGTTCGAATAAGGTTTATTCGAATTATTCGTTTTATTCGTTATGAAAGTTTTATTCGAATAGAATGAATAGATTAATAGAACGAATGGAACGAATGGAACGAATAGAGCGAATAGAACGAATAGAACGAATAATAATAATTCGAATTAAAATAATAAGTATTACGAATAGAAACTCTAGGACTTTTATCCTGCTATGATGTATTGTAATGCAGGTGGGCCATCTCGACTAAATGTCCATGCCGCTGAATTCTGCACTAAAATTCCAGACGTAAAAATGAATGTTAAGAGAAATTCGTTTTAGTTGGCTAAGCCATTTAAAAATTCCTTGGCAGGAATCTGTTATATTCATTCCCATACTTTCTATTTAATAATATATACATATGTGTGTGTTAATAATATGCCAATAACCAATATTATAAAAACATAAATATATGCTGTTGCTGCTGCTGCTGCTGCTGCTTGTGATTTCATAATTGGATAACTGATTCTTTTTGTTAAAAATCTATCTAAAAGTTATACAAGTAAAACAATCTTCTTGATTGTAACTCTTTTCTCTAAATGTTAACAAGGGTGAATAAAAATTTCATTGTTATTGGGAATTACTATCTATTACTAACGATATTAATTAATAAATTGAATAGTAAAAGAATTAATGAATGACTAATTTAATCTCCACCATAAATTTATTATCTTCTTTTTATTTATCTTTTTTATTTTATCCTTATTTTGTTTCTCATAATAATATTCCTATAATAAATTTTCTATAGTTTTCTGGTTCTTGTTAAATGGTGACCTTGTGAGGTATCATTTCTGTTAATTATGGCTTAACTTTTGGGCTACTCTTGTCAGTTAATAACTCACAATAATTCGGTGCTTGTCAATTAATTAGTTTACGAATTTACTTTGATTCTCGATTACTGCACCTAGACGAATCTGTAAGTAACTTAATGGTACCAGATAACTGTAATTAAATAAAGATGTCCTTTTTGTTATAAAGTTCCTTTTATTCACTTGTGATCAATTTATTTCCTTGTTTACATTTATTGGCCGATTGCAAACTTGCTTTGGTTCACTTGGAAAACAATCAAATAGCTTGTTTGACAGCTTTACATTTTGATTACAATAATACTACCGGTATTTCCGATTAACCTTTGGACAATACTTCATTGACACACACTACTTTAATTAATTAATCAACAAAATCCTTTTGAAGCTAGTTATCCGTTTAATTTTTTAAGAATGCCCCTAATAAAACAACTAATAACACCTACCTTTAGATAAAAAAGTTTTAATCAATTAAAATGGATCAAATTTTCTAAAAGCAAAGAACATGGAATTGATTTTAACAATGATGATAACAGCAGCAGCAGCAGCAGTGGTGGTAGTAATGCTTCACAACAAGCACACAAATCACATCCAGATGCATATCATACAAGTAGAATATTAGATGATGAGATCGCTAAATCAAAAAGCTTGAAAATTTATACAAGTCATGATAGTTCGTTAAATGATCTTGATTTTAATTCTTTTCTCTAAAATGTTAACAAAGGTAAATAAAAATTTCATTATAATTAATTGGAAATTACTATTCTACTAACAATATTAATTAATTAATTAATATTAAATTCTAGTAACAATAGTAAATGAAAAGATGTGATGAATGACTAATTTAATCTCCACCATAAATTTATTATCTTCTTTTTATTTATCTTTTTTATTTTATCCTTATTTTGTTTCTCATAATAATATTCCTATAATAAATTTTCTATAGTTTTCTGGTTCTTGTTAAATGGTGACCTTGTGAGGTATCATTTCTGTTAATTATGGCTTAACTTTTGGGTTACTCTTGTCAGTTAATAACTCACAATAATTCGGTGCTTTTCAATTAATTAGTTTACGAATTTACTTTGATTCTCGATTACTGCACCTAGACGAATCTGTAAGTAACTTAATGGTACCAGATAACTGTAATTAAATAAAGATGTCCTTTTTGTTATAAAGTTCCTTTTATTCACTTGTGATCAATTTATTTCCTTGTTTACATTTATTGGCCGATTGCAAACTTGCTTTGGTTCACTTGGAAAACAATCAAATAGCTTGTTTGACAGCTTTACATTTTGATTACAATAATACTACCGGTATTTCCGATTAACCTTTGGACAATACTTCATTGACACACACTACTAGTTAACTAACAACGTTAGTCCTAGCCTTGCTTACTTGCTCACTAAAGCAAACAAGCGTGGCTTTTTACCAAAGCTCCACAATTGTTAACTACACTTGTTGCTTTTATCAAAGCGCTTTAAACAAAGAAAATAAAGACAATGTTTTATTTCTATTTTTATTTTTAAAAGTTTATTGACAATTAATTTTAATTAATATATAAAAATAATGATTCTATCACAGAGTTTGTTTTTCTATTATTTTCCTTTGCGCTTTGCGTGGACCAGAAGTTATCCTTGATGAAATTTTCGTTGTTGTTCACTACAATAAGGATGAAGATAAAGATGGGTTTATTATTACAAAGTAACTTAATCAATCAATATTGATATTATAAAACTTTCATAATGATTTACACAGTAGCTCGATAATAATTATAAAAAGCTTTTGCGTAAAGTTTTCATTCGATAATAATTTATCCATCACGTTATTAATATAAGTAAGGAATGTTCGCATTTAGTAGTAAATGAGTGTGTGAGAACTGAATTTGTAGAAAAACTTGGCTCCTTGGGAACAACTGATGAAACGAGAAATATAAAAAAAAGAGCTTGGAATATATATTTACAAGTTTTTTTTGTGAGCTTTAATATTTTAAAGCAATTTACTTGCATCATTTTTGACTTAATAGTTTTACAACTCTAGTTAACTAATAAAAACCAACAATAGGATGTTGCCTGAAGACCAAAAACTTGACTATTATTCATAGTTTTATATGGGCAGTCATAAATGAATCCATTGCTTTTAGACTAAATGAAAAGTCTCATAGCCAATTATTGGCAAAAATACGAAAGTAAGTTTTTAAATTACAAAGCAAGCATTCATTTAATTTAAGTCCTTAAAACTTATCATCATTTATTACTTATTTAAAAAGGATAGGCGAAGTCCACAGTGTTTCTATAGAAGCCAAACAAGAAGAAACTTATCACAGCCATATGATAATAATATAAAATTTTTATTTTGCTTCACATAGAAATCCGTTATATTAGTATTGTAGTTATAGTTATAGTAATAGTTAGTAATTTGGCATAACGGATTTTTCTTCATTCAGAGTTTTTTATTAATTTCAACCCATTAAAAAAATTTTTTTGCTTAAAATAATACAGTCGGAAGAAAATACACATTAATATTAATTAATTTTTGTGTATGCTTTCTGGAGATCAATATATATATTTTCTTTTTATAAATAACAAAAATTGAGTTTGCTAACGACTTTTCGATGTCTATGGATAACAAAGGAACGGAAATAGTGCCATAAAAAAGGCATTAACATAGTTTTTAGTAATATTGATAATTCATTTGCTTTTGATGAATTTGCAAATGCTATAAATGCTGAAGAAAAGCAACTGATTATTAATTCTTTAGATAACGATGACGACGATGGTGACGACGAATTATCTATCTGATCGCGAGTTATAAGTTGATAACTTTAGTGAAGAAGGGTTTATGGGAAGTATTGTAAATAATATCGAGAGATGTAAATCAAGGAGCAAATAATATAATTACCAAGGTTTTATAATTTTTGTTTATCCTGCTGATAATACTCAATCAAAATGGTCACATCTTTACAACCATTACCATTACTATTACCGTGTAGTTATATATTATCCGCAAAAAAACATCAGCAATTGCCAAATCGATTTCTAAATAACTTCCAACTCGCCAACACCAATAAAATTGTAGTTGCAGATATTTTTTGCAGATTATATCTTCATCTTCATATATTGCCGAATTACTTCTGTCTTTTTTCCCCTAGTGCTAGCGAAGCAAATTTCAATTGCCGATTTACTAACCGAAAATCCGAGCCTTTAGTATTTTTTCACTAATACTAATTACTTAGTTTGTTTGATTTAAATGTTTTTCTGGGCTCTATTCTACCAATTACTACTTTATCGATTTTTTGGTTTGTGTTAAATTTAATATATTTACAGCTGGTTTTATGGGTTTTTATGATGAATTTAAACAGAGTTACGAACGAACCAAACTCAGACCTAAATTCAAACATATACAATAATGATTGTTTTTTCTACCAAAGCGCGTGTTTAGATCGTTCTGTGAGCAATTTATTAACAAATAATGAATGATTCAGCTAATAGTAAGCTATAATGATAATAATATTTGGGGTGACCAACACTTTATCTCAGATATTAATTGTGTCTTGAACTATTTCTTAATAAAATAATATATAAATCAATTCATACGGCATATAAATAAATAAATTTCATTTTTCCTAAACAACAAGTAAAATTTGTAGGAATAAATAATTACATTATGTTTTTATTGAACAAACTACCTGGAATATATATTAGTAAGAGATGATAAAGTTTTGAATTCTGTCCGAGACTACTTACTGCTTTATCATTTATTTTCTCATAAATTTTTTCTTAATAATAGAACACCTTCTAAACCTTCAATGGTGCTACATGTAATTTATTTCTTCATCTTGTAGCATTTATTCAGTTATTAACACATTCATCCTTGTAATTAATAATACTTACAAGATACTTCTTGAGCGTATCGATATACGATGTCATAATAATAATGAGTTTGAATTTTGAAAATTTGAGGAACACGCAGTAATTGTAATCCTTTAAGGTGAGAAAACAAGCTTACTTGCTACCAAAAGAATTGAACCTGCACATCATAAACTGATCCAGAAATTTCCCTTTTTTCCTTATTATTATATAAATATTTACATTTATAACTTTTAGTAAATTAATTTTAATATAATCAATTTAATTAACATGATCTATTTATTATTAAACTCCAAAAAAAGGAATTGAAACCACAAGAGATAAATTAAAGGAACAAGTGAAGAAGTTACGGCAATACACCGATGGCCATGGGTACTTAATATAAAGATTAAAGATGCACCGCAAATTATTATTATATTAGTTTAATAATGTGGCTCCTCAACTAATTGCAACTAATTGCAACTAGTTGCCTATTAAAACTGAATTGCAATTGCAGCTAATTGCAGTTTCTATCTTTAGCAATTTTTATTTGCATAATATTTATTTAATATTGAATATTAAATTCTAAATTAATAATTCCACTGTAAAATATTAAATAAATATGTATATATATAATGTATATGCACATGTAAAAAAAATACATGATGATTATATAGATTGATCCCTAATTCCTTCAGGATATACTAGAGTATAATATTTTCTTGAACAGGCATCTGAACTTCTATTTTTCATAATTTCAGAAATTTTACTCCATTCTCCACTGTATATTCTAACCAAATCAACTAATTTCTTTATTTCACTGCTTGACCATATTGCTCTTTTACGACCGTTTGATTCAAGTTTTCCATCATTAAAATGATTAGTGTTAACATCACCATTATCGTCAAGTTCCAAGCCAACATAACCTTCGTCACCTTTTTTCATCTTTGTTGCTTGATTTTTAATGGATTTAAATGTCCTGCCAGGAAAGTATTCAGCAAGACGTCCATAATCATTTCCATATTTTTTTAATAAATCCTTTAATAAATCTCTATCTGTTTTTGTCCAATCCTTACGTGCAATAAACCAATAACTTTTTTGCTCATTATGAGTTGGTTCTACTAAAAATTGATGATTTGATTTGTAAAACGATATACATTGATTTCTTTTCTTAGTTTTAATTTCCTTTGTTATTGTCTTCCAATCAGGTCCGTATTTTTGTCAAGCCGGTTGAATTTGAACTCTAATACTAAACAGACAAAACGAATTTAGAATTTTTTGGACAATCTTATTTATTATTATTATCATGCAAAATACAAACAATGAAATTTATAAAAAAAATAAAACTTTGATAATGAAAATGAATTGCTCTGATGCGTGCCTCAACATTCGAAGGCATTGTAAAAATCAAATCACGAATACCATTTTGGCACTACGTGCTCTAACCCCTGAATTCAGATACAATTTTTTGGTCCACAAGTGAAAAATAGCGGGTCCATTTACATGTTTTTGTAGTAATTTATTAGGCTACACCATTGCGAAAAAATTTGCGTTACAAGGGTAAAACTTTTATTGGCTAATTATTTTTATTATATAGAAGTTTCGTATTATTATTATTACTCAACACAAGGGAAAAGATCCAATTGCTACAATTATTATTAATTGACTAAAGAAAAGAAAAGAAAATATGTCAATTACTTCTGCCGCTACTGTTATTATTATCGCGCTGCAAGGCCTACAAAGGGAAAAATGGAAAATGTTTTTTAATTGGGTTAGATAGTGCATATATTAATATTATTCGAATGATTCGTTTTATTCGAATTTGCCAGTTAAAAAATTTCGTGTGATTAAAAATTTTTGCGCGGATATTAGATTCCTTAATTTTTAGAAAAGTGTGATCGACAGATTATTTTGGGATCAAATTAAAAAAAGATCGTACGTAGTAATTATGTATTAGTGGTAGTAGTAGTTAGATATACGCCACCCTTAAATTCTGATCCCTAAACTCTTTATTTATTATTAGTATTTGCATTAGTAGTTAATTAGTAATAATAATTAGTAATAATAATAATAATAATAAAAAATGTTCAAAAAACTTTTAAGTCATAATAAATTATTTTCTTGTAAAATAAAACAAAATTCAGCTAATAGTAATAGTGTAGTATTATGTTCACGTTAATAGATTTTGATAGTAGTGGTGATGGTGGTGGTATACTTGGTCAAAAAGAATCTCATGAATGGACTAAATTAGAAGTTAAACAATTAGAGAATCTTGTTGAAAAACTCGGTGAAAATTGGGATTTGGTTTCCAAGTATATGTTTACTAAATCACCAGTAGAATGTTTTAAAAAATATAAAAATCTATTAAGTATATTACCTGATCATCATACAAAAAAATTTAAACATAGCAATGATAATGATGACTTAATTTTAGACCATCAAAAAGAATTACCAACAGAAAAAAGTTGGAAGGAAGAAGAAATTAAATTTTTGAATAATTTAATTGAGATACATGGACGTAGATGGAACCAAATTATTAAACATTTTCCAAGTAAAAGTTCTAGATATTACTAACCAATTTTGTCCATATGTTTCAACAAGTTCATTTAGTAAATTTATTTCATACCTTGCCCAAGGAAGATGATCATGATCTGTTGTTGTTTCTGTGGCGGTGGTGGTGGCGCTGGTGGTGGTGGAAGTTGTGCCTAAAGTTTTTTTGCTTGATGTGAATTTTGAAATTAAATCATAATCATGTCTATGTTTATAAACTAAATCATTTAAAATCTTTATGTCATCATTTGGCCATCTAATAGATGGTGCAACCTGAGTAGGTTTGCTTAATGAAGGAAATTTGTCTGGATTGTTCTTTAAAAAATTTTCTATTTCACTAGAACTTTTACTTGGAAAATGTTTAATAATTTGGTTCCATCTACGTCCATGTATCTCAATTAAATTATTCAAAAATTTAATTTCTTCTTCCTTCCAACTTTTTTCTGTTGGTAATTCTTTTTGATGGTCTAAAATTAAGTCATCATTATCATTGCTATGTTTAAATTTTTTTGTATGATGATCAGGTAATATACTTAATAGATTTTTATATTTTTTAAAACATTCTACTGGTGATTTAGTAAACATATACTTGGAAACCAAATCCCAATTTTCACCGAGTTTTTCAACAAGATTCTCTAATTGTTTAACTTCTAATTTAGTCCATTCATGAGATTCTTTTTGACCAAGTATACCACCACCATCACCACTACTATCAAAATCTATTATATCATCATCTATGAAACTATTATTACTATCGTCATCATTGTTCTTGTTGTTATTGAAATCATCTATCAATTTAACATTGTTCTTTGATAAAGTTGAAAATTGTCTATTTCTAGAATGATCGACAGGTGACGATAATAATACACTATTACTATTAGATGAATTTTGTTTTATTTTACAAGAAAATAATTTATTATGACTTAAAAGTTTTTTGAACATTTTTTATTATTATTATTATTATTACTAATTATTATTACTAATTAACTACTAATGCAAATACTAATAATAAATAAAGAGTTTAGGGATCAGAATTTAAGGGTGGCGTATATCTAACTACTACTACCACTAATACATAATTACTACGTACGATCTTTTTTTAATTTGATCCCAAAATAATCTGTCGATCACACTTTTCTAAAAATTAAGGAATCTAATATCCGCGCAAAAATTTTTAATCACACGAAATTTTTTAACTGGCAAATTCGAATAAAACGAATCATTCGAATAATATTAATATATGCACTATCTAACCCAATTAAAAAACATTTTCCATTTTTCCCTTTGTAGGCCTTGCAGCGCGATAATAATAACAGTAGCGGCAGAAGTAATTGACATATTTTCTTTTCTTTTCTTTAGTCAATTAATAATAATTGTAGCAATTGGATCTTTTCCCTTGTGTTGAGTAATAATAATAATACGAAACTTCTATATAATAAAAATAATTAGCCAATAAAAGTTTTACCCTTGTAACGCAAATTTTTTCGCAATGGTGTAGCCTAATAAATTACTACAAAAACATGTAAATGGACCCGCTATTTTTCACTTGTGGACCAAAAAATTGTATCTGAATTCAGGGGTTAGAGCACGTAGTGCCAAAATGGTATTCGTGATTTGATTTTTACAATGCCTTCGAATGTTGAGGCACGCATCAGAGCAATTCATTTTCATTATCAAAGTTTTATTTTTTTTATAAATTTCATTGTTTGTATTTTGCATGATAATAATAATAAATAAGATTGTCCAAAAAATTCTAAATTCGTTTTGTCTGTTTAGTATTAGAGTTCAAATTCAACCGGCTTGACAAAAATAAGCCATATTCATTCGTAATACCGAATTACGATCAGACCTTGGTTGAATCACAATAACGATCATATAAAGGGTTTGATACCAATGAAGACACACTAATATCCAAAATATGTTCCTTTGTTTAATTCTGTTGGTTTGATCTTGAAAATATGATTATATGAAGGTTATTGAAAGATTTATAAAGTTAATTTTATTAATATTTATATTTTAATCTTTGAACTTTAATAAACTAATTAAAATTTTTTATCTGAATAATTATATTATACCAATATATACCAGCTGATTTTCCAGAACAACTTTATATAAGACGTGCAATTGTACATTAAAATAAATTAGTTGAATTTTACTCTTCTTGAATTAGTTACCAGTCAATTAACATTTCAGAGCTTTTCTCATAAATGTAGAGGCAGGAAATTGTTAATCAATTCATTTCTGTAACAAACTTTTTTGCAAATTAAATAATAAACAAATTTATTCTTTCGTAGTCGAAAATTAAACAGTGGGGTTTAATTGTTTATTTGGTTACCAGAGTGGTGTTTCTATTTTTAATATAGATTCTTGTTCGAATTAGAGAGTGGAATTCTTGCTGATGGCTCATGCTGGGTGTATTGACCCTTTGTGACTCTCTTGTTAAAACATTTAAAATTCGTTAATTGATTTGATTGGTTACATTTGTAATATATTAATAGATTTTTTAAATTTGAAAGTTATACTCAGAAGTGCAACAATATTTTGCAGGAAATGCGGACAAATTCCACTAGGATTATCCTATCTCACCGATGACGAGATGGAATAGGATAATCCTATGTGGGTTATATATGAGAAATGTAGTAATAAAAACAAATAATAAATATATATTTTTCAGGTTCAATGGTGACCAACAAATCACCAACAAATAATAATGACCTCAAAACTTATTCTTAAAATCAACAGTGCCTTAAAATTGCCAATATGTTATTAAAGATCAGTGATGACCTGGAATTACAAATACATTTTAAAGGTCAACCATGATCCTGAAACTGCCAATAAATTTTAAAGGTCAATAATATCCTTGAAACTCTATATTAATATGTTTTCAAATCAATTATGACCCTGAAATCCTCTATATTAATATTAATATTAATGTTTTCAAGATAAATTGTGGCACTGAAATATTTTAAAGGTCAAATGTGATCCTGAAATTCACTATAGATTTTAAAGGTCAAAAGTGACTCTGAAATTCACTATGTTTTCAAGTTCAATTGTGATCTTGAAATTCTCTACATGTTTTGAAGGTCAATTGTCTATACATTTAAAGGTCAAATGTGAGCCTGAAATTCTCTATGTGTTTTAAAGTCAATTGTGATCCTGAAATTCTCTACACACTTTAAAGATCAATTGTGATCCTGAAATTCTGTATATGTTTTAAAGGTCAAAGGTGACTCTGAAATTCACTATGTTTTCAAGTTCAATTATGATCTTGAAATTCTCTACATGTTTTGAAGGTCAATTGTCTATACATTTAAAGGTCAAATATGACACTGAAATTCACTGTGTTTTCAAGTTCAATTGTGGCCCCGAAATTATCTATATGTTTTCAAGGTCAAATGTGACACTGAAATTCACTGTGTTTTCAAGGCCAAATGCAAGCCTGAAATTCTCTACACATTTTAAAGGTCAATTGTGATCCTGAAATTCTACACATTTTAAAGATCAATTGTGATCCTGAAATTCACTATGTTTTCAAGTTCAATTGTGACCCTGAAATCCTCTATGTGTTCAAGTTCAATTGTGATCCTGAAATTCACTGTGTTTTCAAGGTCAAATGCATGCTTGAGATTATCTATATGTTTTCAAGGTCAAATGTGACCTGAAATCCTCTATGGGTTCAAGTTCAATTGTGATCCTGAAATTCTCTGCATTTTAAAGGTCAGATGTAGTCCTGAAATTCTCTGCATATTTTAAAGGTCAATTGTGATCCTGAAATTCTCTGTTTTCAAGTTAAAAATTTTCTATATGTTTTCAAGATCAAATGTACCCAGAAATTCTCTGGTTTTAAAGGTCAAATGTAGTCCTGAAATTCTCTGCATTTTAAAGGTCAATTGTGTTCCTGAAATTCTCTAGAAATTTTTATGTTTTAAGGGTCAATCATGATCTTGAAATTCCATATGTATTTTAAAGGTCAATTATGAACACAGAAATGGTTATACAAATCCTCAAATTTAAAAATAATTAATGTTTTCAGCAATGCTTTAAATTAATCATAATTTATTAATATAAAT